TCTGCCAGAAGTCTGATAAATATGCACTAGCCTAATTCATCTCTCAGGGGAGAATAATTCGGTCTTAAATAGAATTTTGTGTAGCAAAAAATGCAGACGGTCATCTTGGTAAAACTTCTCTAATTTGATTTAACTTAAAGACAAAATTAAAGATAACATTATGAAAACATCGTTGTGGTAAAAAACTGACTTGATAATACCTTTTTGTAAATATGGTCCTCTGTGAAAGAAGCAGTTTTTTAAACCACTGCACTCTCAAGAGAGAATAGGAAAAAAAATTAGAAGCGATCAAAACATTTTTACATAGCTCCTCTCATACACACGACATGCCGAAGCTGTAGCCTTTCCCTTTCAGTTCAAATTCATATTAAGCCCCAGAATCTGAAGTGTAGAGAACTTAAGACAGAATTAAAAGCCATCATCTGACAAGAAGCTATCTTCTCAAGTAGCGCACAGAACTATTACAGCCTAAGCGACATTATGTCTGTTAACATATTACACGCTAGCCAGTATCAGGAAGTGCAATTTCAGATTCCAGTTAATTCAGGAGGAAATTCTGACTTACGAGTTCCTAAATACACTCTCCTCAACTTCCTCCATGATTTGCCACCATGTACCATGTACATTTGCGCTGATGCAATTATTTGTGTAGCTGAGTTGCAAGTGAATTCATGAACTGCAGGAAAACAGCCCTCAAAGTCACTATTTTGTTTCATACAGGTCATTTCACTAATCTGATTTAAGTAGCACCCTCTTAAAACAACTGCTGCCTCAAACTAATTGAAACCTGGTGGAGTACCCAAAAAAAGCGGTATTTTATCTTCTTTGTGTCCCCCAAGCAGATTAAGATGACAGTGTTGTTATAAACGAGTGGCCAAAGAAATGCTAGTTTCCAAAAGCCAAGTAGCAATGGCTTGAGACTTTGTTGTCTATATGCCAAGAAAAAGACAGGCAATGTGGCTTGAAAGCATTATACTGGATCTGGCCTAACAGAAATGCCAGAATACATTGAGCAGTTTAATTCATATCACTCTGAATTAAACCGTGACTCGAAAGGACATAGAAAGAACTTTTTTTAATGCAGTAAAAAGCACCTAAGCCACAGTAACATTACCCACATGCTCATCAACATTTAATTGATTTATTTCCAATCAGTTAGAAATAGATTCAGTTGAAAAGGACAGCTAACTGAATTAATTTAGAGGAAAGTATCTGTATTTGAAATGGATGCAGGCTGTTTAAAACACCTTCTTACAAATTTGGAAGGAAAAGATTTGTTTCTACAGCTAGGAATATGTTACCTTGTTTATATGGCATGAAACAGCATTTCCAAACCTCTGCCCCTCAAAGATGTCCCAAAGACTACAGATTCTGTCTTCCCTTGAGTTTGGGAGTGTCCCAATCATCTTAAGAGAGTATGCAAGGTATCTTTTATTGCCTCCTGAAGTTTTCAGAATCAGGTAACTCAGAAAATGAAGATACACTCCCCCCACCCCCCCATGTACAAGAAGCAAAGCAAGCACGTTAGGAGAGTGGAACGCCTCCACCAGACAGACAAATTCCTAACTCATCTTAAGCTCTCTTAGAAATACTGTCCAAAAATATTACCAGGATTTTTGCAGCAACAAATTTAAAGAATAGAACAGTCAGATTAAAATTTCATAGTATGTCTGAAAAATCAGTTTGGAATTACCTGTAACCTGTTGGGGGGGGGGGGAAAAATCTACAAGCATTGCAAAAATCACTGCCTGTAAATACTCCATTTAAACCCATTGCTCAGAATTCATTACTGAAGACCACACCGTTCCACGGAGACCTGACAAAGCTTTACTTCACCAAGAAACCGACCACTCTCCTTTCTACAAGGAAATAAGGATTTCCTCCAAGAAAGGGCAGGTCTTCTTTTATGCTTTTTATTCTTGTTCACTGCTAGTGAAATTAAGTCAGCTTTGAAAGTTGTCATTTGCAGGTCTGTACATCTTTCTTGTGCCGAACTTTCTGGAAATGCTGATGACAAGGATTGCGACCCTGAATTTAACTCATTATTAGATGGAAAGCCAGATAAGAAATGGAATGTTAAGCTTTTCACAGCTTGTGTTATCTAGCACAGGCTGGTATATTCTGAACAAACCATTTTTATGATTTTACACCTAAACACATAAAATTGATCAATTCTGGGAGAATGACAAGACTATCACAGAAGGTGGCTGATAGCCCCTACTCGTTCCTGTCGTACAGAACCCAAGCTGAGCTGCAGCAGTTTGTGATAACTGTGTATCATGTTTCTCATACGAAGGAAGTACTTAATCAAAGAGATTTGGTGACATTGATAAAATTCTCCTTGTCACATCACTTCCCTTTCCAGTTCTCAGAATACCACCAAGTATTAAGAGCTGAATCCGAAGCACAATGCCAAGTCCTACAGAGAAGCGTTCGTCAGAGTGCTTTACCCACTGGTATGGTATAAAGAATACCCATAAAATCAGATTCTGCTTCTAATATAATTTTGTGCAGCTTGATAGTTTTTTTGCTAGTCTGTGGGTAGACAGTGCATAAACCAGACTTTTAAAACAGTCATTTAAAATGCAAATCTTCACCACTAAGTCTACAAATGGTTGTGGGCAGTTGTGAGAATGAAAACTGCTTTTAATTCTGCTGAGATTTTAAACAAGAGTCCAACAATGACCAAAAAAAAAAAAAAAACCCAAACCCTAAGTACTGCAGTTCAGCCAGCTCACCTAGAAACTTCATGAAATAACATCCAAGCAACAACTCCTCCTCAGAGACTGGGCTGAAGCTGAAAGCCCAGCACAGAGTTGAAGTTTGCCAGCCAAGAGGCGCTGCCCCGGAGGAGTGCGGCGGCCCCCCCGCCTCGCCACTTGCGTATTCGGGGCTTTGCGTGACAGGGCCTAACGGCCAAGAGCAACGGCAAACAGCCAAAAGCAAGAGCGCAGCACCAACTGAGAAATAAGACGCAGCGCAGCGAGGCCTAGCAAAGCCACCTGCGCCCTCCATGGCGGCGCCGCCCGAAAGCGCTGCGCTCAGTTCCTCGGCAAAGGCCCCCCCCC